GTTCTAGTCTGTTTCTTTTGCGCAGCAGCAAAGGCTGCATGCAAAACGGGAGTTGCATTTAAGAATGTTTGAAATGTTTTTGTTTTTGAAAATAAAATTAAAATTAAAATTAAAATTAAAATTAAAAGTTTTTAATTAATTTTTATTTTTTATTTTTGTGCTGCTGTTTGCAGGCACTGTCCAGGCCATCCCGGCCTCTTCGTCTTGATTTGACTTTTTGTCTTTTTGCAAGTCTTTGAATTCAACGAAATAGACAAAACCCCAGAGCCCTGCGGTTTAGGGTTTAGGGTTTAGGGTTTAGGGTTTGGGATTTGTGGGAAGCCCCGTCACTCAAGGTTTGTTTTGTACATGCTGCCCGAGACCCAGGGTCTAGGGTTTAGGGTTTAGGTTCTAGAGTCTAGGGTTTAGGGTTTAGGGTTTAGGGTTTGTGAGATTAGAGTATAGGGTCACCGCATAGCCTCCGTATAGGCACTAATGCCGAGGGTTTGGCCTTTAGGGTCGAGGCCCTAGGGTTTATGTCGTGGAAATTAAGGTTTAGGGTTTAGGGTTTGGGGTTTAGGGTTTCTGGCTTAGGCTTTAGGCTCTAGGGTTTAGGGTTTAGGCTCTAGGGTTTGCCCTCAAGGCAGAACAACACGAATTAGAGTGCTTCTCTGTAATATTAAACTGCAAAAGAATTTAAAAAACAAAAAAGAGAAAATCAAAATAAAGAAAAGAGTCAAAACTTGCAAAGAGAAAGTCTGCAGTTGAGAAGGATTTTGAAACACTTCTGTGAAACCCTCGTTGAGGGTTTACAGGGTTTCATCTAAAGCCCTCATTTGGGGTTTATTTTCGCCAAAATAAAGAATATATTTAGGGGTTTCTCCTTTTCAAAATTAAATATATATTTTATTTAAATTTATAAATCTAAAATTGGCAATGTTCTTTCTGCGCTTAAGGACTCCTTCAGCTGCGTTTGCCGTGGATTGGGCAGCTCCTGTGCAAAAGTTGCATGCATTCGCCCGAAATTTGGTGAAATTTTGCAATTAATTGAATAAATTGAAACTAAATTAAATTAAAACATTTATTTTGTTTTATTTTCCATCTAAGGACGCAAGGAATCCGTGCATGCGCCTGCCCGGCAGACCAGAGGTCCGCTGCGCTTTCGGCTGCCCACCTTGCTTGGCCTCGGGCAGTCCATTCGCGGGGCTTTCTGAAGCTGAAACAAAAGTGCATTTTCTGAGTTAGAAATATTTTCATAAATGCGAGACAAGAAAGCCATTTATTCGGAGTAGATCGGGGAAATACTGCCGCAATTCAGTGGTGACTGCCTGCGGGTGCCCCCGCCACCTGAATTCTGAATCGCGGAAACATGAATTCGCTCGTTTCCCTCCCCAGATCTTCGCGTTGTCGGATTTTATTTATTTAAATATGTTTTTATAATTCAATTAAGACTTTAAATCTTTAAAAAGGCCGCAGCGCCGACTCAAGGCGTGGTGGTGGCGCCGCGTAGCCAGCAGGTCACCGCCGGGGCTTTTCCTTCGCTTTCAGTCCTCAGAAACTGCCTCAAGTAGCTCTTGGTGCAGAACTTTGCAAAATCCTCGAATATATTTGGCATTTGGGGCCTTTTAAGGGGCCTAATCCCGCAGCTTTCTCCCTTTTTTGCGAGTTTTGGAACTGCTTTCCAGTCCATGATCACGCGGCTCTACCTCCTGCTTTTCTTCCTGCTGCTGGGCCTCGCCAGCGCCCAAAGCGGAAACTCCGAAGAAGAAAACAGCGGAGGATTTTGCCCGCGTTTGGGGGCTTCGATTTCGCGGTTTTGCAAATGCACGGCCGAGACCTTCAGCAACATTGGCCAGGCCATCAAGGACGCGGCCTCCAAATACATGAAATGAACCCTAAAATCGATTTAATTCAATCAATTAAATAAAATAATTCATTAAAATTAATTAATTAAAGCAAATGATGCTCAAAAGCGCCGAAAACAGCGCTCTGCAACGCCTCGCCAGCCCATTTCAACTTCTATTCCTTCACAGCCTAGACAGGCAATTCTTAACAATGGCTCCGTCTTAAGAGAACTCCAAGCCCTTTTGAAGTCCTTAGGGACTTCAAAAGGCCTCAAAAGGCCTTTTAATGACTTTATTATCCCCACAGATTTGCAGGGGGCCCAAAAGCAGCAGCAGAAACCCCAATGAAGCCCTTTGGGGGGCCCCTGGGGGCCCCGAGAATCCTTATGACTTCCTACAAGACCCCCCAATGCCCCTTTTCTCCCCATTTGGCTTTATAGGAGCTCTTAATGGTCTTTCAAGGGCACTCGGGGGCTCCAGAGGGCCCCCGGGGGCCCCCGAGGGGCCCTTGGGGGCCCCATGGGGCCCCCGGAGCTTCCTTAGGCTCTAAGGGGGCCCCTCGGGGGCCCCTATGGGGCCCCCGCGAAGGGGTTCCCCTGGGGGCCCCCCCGAGAGGCCCCAGGGGGCCCCCCCGAGGGGCCCCCAGGGGGCCCCAGGGGCCCGTAGGAAAGAGTAGAAGGGCAGCAATTCTGGAGCATTTGGAGGGAGTTGAGTGTTGAAAGAAGAAAAAGAAAAAGCTGAAAAAATGATTTAAAGAAGAATTCAAGAAAAGATAATAGTGGAGTTGAGGCCTTATTATGGAAATTTGTGTGTTTGTTTCTGCTGCTGATTTGTTGGAGATTAAAAATTAATTATTTTTGTTCTTTACTTTTTAGAAAAGCATAAAAAGAAAAAAGAAATATTTATTTCTGGTTTTTTACTTTTTAAAAAACATAAAAAGAAACAAAAGGGCGGCAAATAACTCGGGCTGTCTTTTCACTCTTTTTGTTTTTATTTATTTAAATATTTATTTTTTAAAATCATTTTAAAGAATTAATTAAGTGGCTTTTATTTCTTGCATGCAATTCAAACTAAAGCAATTGCATGCAAAAGAAATATTAAAAATAAATAAATTAATTAAAAATGCCAGTGTCATGCAAGTGAAGGAAATGCAAATCAAGATAATTGAAATAATAAAAAAGAAATTAATAAATTAATAAAGTAGAACAAGATGACTTAAATAGTTTATTTGTAACAGAAAATATATAAAGAATCGGAACAGAAATCAAAATATTTCTTTTTTATATTTCTTTTTATTTATTTTTTATTTGTTTGAATTTTTTAAAATACAAAAAATTATTTATTTAATTTGTTCTGTTTCGCTAAAAGGCGCAAAAGAAAACCAATTTGCTTCTCTTTTGCTCAATCTGAACAAACGACTGAATTGACCGAAACCCTAAACCCTAAACCCTAAACCCTAAACCCTAATTCGCTTAGGGTTTTGATAGACAGCAAATAGTGGGATTGACTGGAAACCCAATGCAAAGTTTGAATCTTTGAGTTGGAAATAAAAGATTTATATTTTTGTTTTTTTCATTTTAACTTTAATTTATGAAGCTTGCATGCATGCTGTACATACACCTGATTGCATGCGCGCATGCGCAATTCTACAAAAACATTTATAGTCATTTATTTAATTGTGTAAAACTACAGTTGGACTCTAAATCCATTTTACCTTTTATTTATTTTATTTTATTATTTATTTTATTTCTTTTGGAGCTCTTTTTGGGATTTAAAGATTTATAAAAAGGTCTTTTTGGTTTTTGTAATTCATTCTTCTTTTTGCTGCAGCTCTGCTGCAGCAAAAGCAGCAAAACTCACTGCTGCAGCAAAAGCAGCAAAACTCAAATTTGCTGCATGCAGCAAATTTGAGTTTTGCTGCAGTAAAATGCTGAAGGAGTTTTAGTGCATTTGATTTGCTGATTGACTCTAAGACAGATCTCAGGGGTTTAAGCGAGAAATTAAAAAGACACTGCTGCTGCTGCTGCTGCAGAAGAGTTGCTGCTGCTGCTGCAGAGGGGTTGCTGCTGCTGCTGCTGCACACCACCCAGCAACAGCTCCCCCCCCGCTGCTTGAAGTGCCCTCGCAAGTTGGAAATTAATTACTTTTGAGTTTTAAAAAGACAAAAAGTATTTAAATTGCAAAAAGACGGAATGTTTGAATTCAAAACAAGTCCTTCGATATTCGAGAGTGACCCCTGAAGTGCAGTTTGAAAAATCCCCCAGATCCAGAACTGCAGGAGGAGTTCAAAAGCTGGAGTTTGAAATGAATGCAAAGAAGCCTTTAAATAGTCCTTAAATAATTCTGGTGAATAAAAATAATGAAATAAAAATGAATTACTTTGTTCTAGTTTGAAACTGCGGGAGTTGGCAATTCAAAAAGTTGAATTTTTCCGCAATTCTGCAGTCGCCTGCGTGGCGTTTCCACCCAGTGCTGCTACTTCTGCAGAGTTTCTGGACTTTCAGTGCCAAAACTGAAACCCAAAACAAAATTGATAAAATAAATTATAATTCAATGAATTTGGCGCTTTCCGACTAGGGGTTTGCGCCGTTGTGGGGTTTACAGACACCGCAGAGAAGCGCAGCAGCAGGCAAGTTCACGCGCAGGCTGCGGCTCTGCGCAACTTGGGACTCGCAATTCGTCCCAAAAGGTTCATTTAAATGAATTTATTCATTTTTAAAACTGTGTGGCGGAGAAAAGGGAATTCTTTCGCGAGCTGCAGCAGCCGCCGCCTCGCGACCTTCCGTGGTTGGGGCTGCGACGCCGAAAGGCTGAGATGGAGGCTCGTGCTCTGTTCTTTCGTCTCTGCGCCTCTCAAGGCTAAGTATTATTTAATTCAAATTGGAATATAAATTAATTCCCTCGGGGGTTGCCGGGTAAGCTCGAGTTCCCGTGGTTTCGCGGGTCTCAGGTGTATCGGCAGGTCTTTGCAGCTTTCCTTCTGCGCGGGCGTTCCGCGGCTTCAGTCCGCGATTTTTGCGGCATTTCTTCTCGAACTTGTCTCCTCAACTTGCATTTACTATTTTCGTTTCCATTATCTCCTCAAGGGCCTCCCGAGCCCCGAGTTTCCGCGCTTTCCCCGCGCCGCAGCTCCGGTCTTCACTGCTGTGCGGCCTTCAGGGTTCCTTCACTGCAAAGATGGCCAGCGGCGTCGCGACAGTCAAGGAGGTTATCTCCGGCGACACTTTGGTGCTCGTGGGGGCGCCCAAGGGTGAGCTGCTCCGCGCATTCCCGCTGCAGCAGCAGCAGCAGCAGCAGCAGCAGCAGCAGCTGCTGCTGCTGCACAGCAGCTGCTGCCCAACGCAGCGCGCACCGCGCAGCGCGCCCGCGTCAGCCTTGCCCGGGCGGACTGCGGCGGCGGCCGCTGCCGCCGCCCCGCTGCTGCTGCTGCTGCTGCACCCCCGCTGCTGCTGCTGCTGCTGCTGCTGCTGCTGCTGCTGCTGCGCGCAGGGGGGCCCCCCCCGGAGAAGCGCGTGAGCCTGTGCTCCGTGGTGGCCCCGCGGGTGGCCGTGAAGACGCTGACGCACGAGAGCAGCGACGAGCCCTTCGGCTTTGCTGCTCGCGAGTTGCTGCGGCAGCAGCTAATTGGGCAGCAAGTTCAGTTCAAAGTGGAGTTTGCTGCAGCAGGAAAGGAATACGCATGCGTTTTGCTGCAGGGCCAAAACGTGGCCTGCGAGCTCCTCAGGAGGGGGCTGGCCAGGCTCCGCGACAACAAGAACCCCCCCGTCGCTCACGACCTCCGCGGTCCTGCTGCTGCTGCTGCTGCTGCTGCTGCTGCTGCTGCTGCTGCTGCTGCTGCTGCTGGGGCTGGGGCTTGGGTTTGCTGCTGCGCGCGCTGCTGCGGCTTGGCTTCGCTGCTGCGCGGCTGCTGCGGCTTGTCTTTGCTGCTGCGCGGGCTGCTGCTGCGCGTGCTTGCTGCTGCTCGGGCGGCTCCGCGTGTTTGCTGCTGCTGCTGCTGCAGCTGCGTGTCTTTGCTGCTGCGCGCGCTGCAGCTGCGTGTCTTTGCTGCTGCTGGCGCCGCCGCCGCGCGGACTCACGCCCGCGCTGCTGCTGCTGCTGCTGCTGTTGCTGCTGCTGCTGCTGCAGAGCTGGAGGAGTGCGAGGCCGAGGCGAAGGCGAAGCAGCTGGGCCTCTTCAGCAGCAGCAGCAGCAGCAGCAACACTGTCCGCGAGATCCACTGGGCCGTGGGGGACCCCGCCTTCGTTTCGGAGTTTGCTGCTAAGTACAAGGGGCAGCGGCTGCCGGCAATTGTGGAATATGTTCGAGACGGAGGGTCCTTAAGAGTGGCCATTCAAATGAACAAAGGGGGGGCCCCCGGGGGGCCCCCCGGGGGGCCCCCCGGGGGGGCCCCCGAGGGGCCCCCCGTCTTCACTTACTGTGCCCTTTCCCTCTCCGGAATTCAGTGCCCTGGCGCCAAGAGGGACGCAGAGGGCAACCTGGTCCTAGAGCCTTTCGCAGGTCTGCTGCTGCTGCTGCTGCTGCTGCTGCTGCTGCTGCTGCTGCTGCTGCTGCTGCTGCTGGTTGTGGCGGGGTTTGAGCTTTCCCTTGGCATTTGCGTGCTGCTGTCTTTTGTTTATTTATAAATTGCTTAATATGTTTTACTCGCGTTTTCCCTGATCTTGAGAGGGAGAGGAAATGGCCAGAAAGGCTTTTGCTGCAGTTCATTTCCCGAGTTTTGTTTCAATTTTTTTGCTGCGTGCTGCTGCTGCCTCCTTACTTTTATTTTTCTTCATTTTTATTCTTTTTGTCTTTTGAAATGTTTTTGAGGCGACTCTATTCCGCCTTCGCCTCCCGCGTCCTTTGCAGATTCCTTTTGTTGACTGTTCCAATTCAACTTCTTGGAAGCCCACGGAGGGGCCCCTTGTGGAGGCTTTTCTCCTTTTTTTGTTTGTTTATTTTGCAATTTAGACTCTTAATTTGGAGTTTATTTATTGAATTTGCTGCACTGAGCGAAAGCGCTGCAGTTTGCGAACTGGAAAGCTGAATGGAACTCGTGTTCTTGAATTCCCTTGCTGGGGGTGGTGTTCGCCGCAGAAACGGCTTGATTGGGATTTAAAAAGATGAAAAAGAATTAAATTGTTTATTTTTTGATATTTTTCGGGAAATGTTCGCAGCGGAAGCTCGTTTTTTCGTGGAGATCCGGCTGTTGAATCGGGACGTGACAGTGCGCGTGGAAGGCAGCGACGACTACGGCAACTTGCTGGGCACTGTCTACCACCCCAACGGACTAATTAGTTTACTTTTATTGTCAAATGGATTTGCCCGCGTCAATAATGCCACTGCGCAGCTCACGGAGGAGCCCCAGAAGCTCCGCCAGGCCATGAAGGAGGCGCAGGCCAACCGCCTCAGGCGCTGGAAGGTAAACACGCTTGCTGCTGCTGCTGCTGCTGCTGCTGCTGCTGCTGTTTTTGTTGCTGCTGCACGTTTTTATTGCGAAAATGCTGCTGCAGTGCTTGCGAAAGTATGCGCTTGACAGCGAGAAAGCCCAAAAAACTGCAGGATCGCCTTCGTTCCCGCTGCGGGCTTTACCTCATTTGCACATTCACGTTTGGCAGCAGCCACGATCTGGGTTGTGTTTGCCTCGTTTCCGCAGCTCAGTGTCGTTTTATTTGAAATAATAATTATTTGGCATCTAAATAATTATTTAGTTAGTCTTTCTGCATGCAAATTCGCGGGAGATCTTCACTTTTTGCGGGCCAAGTGTTCCAGTTTGGTTTCGCCGTTGTTCAAGTGGTGCTCGTGCTGGTGCTTCCCGGCGTCCCACTTTAGTTGAACTTGAATAGTTTTGCGTTTTTTGCTTCTTTTTTTGCAACTTGAATTTTTTTGCGTTTTTTGCTTTTTTGCAACTTGAACTTGAATTGTTTCGCGTTTTTTGCTTTTTTTTTGCAACTTGAACTTGAATAGTTTTGCGTTTTTTGCTTTTTTTTGCAACTTGAACTTGAATAGTTTTGCGTTTTTTGCTTTTTTTGCAATTTGAATTTGAATTATTTTGCGTTTTTTGCTTTGTTGCAACTTGAATTCCCCAGGACTACAATCCCGCGGGGGGCAGCGACCCTTTGGAGAAGGTGTACGCGGCGACTGTGGAGGAAGTGCTCAGCGGTGACAGCGTGATTTTGAAACTTCCTTCCGGGACTTCTCGTCGCGTTTACTTCGCCTCAATTCGCTGTTTGAGGCCCGCCGGCCTCAACAAGACTCAGTCGAGAGAAGACGAGGCCATTGCCTTGGAGGCCAAGGAGCTCGTGCGCAAGAAGACAATTGGAAAAATGGTCAAGGTCGGGCTTCTTTGCTCCTTTTTCGAAGCTTCTAATGCATTTATTCCAGTTTTAAAACCAATTTTGCTGCCTTTAGTTCGATAAACTCCCAAGTTCCGGCTCCCAGCCCTGCTGCTGCTGCTGCTGCTGCTGCTGCTGCTGCAGTGTGCGCGTTAGCCTCCTTCGTCTGTTGCCGGCAGCAGCACTAGAAAGCGAGCAGAGAGAGCCTTTAGAGCCCAACTAGCGCGCTAAGTAGCGCGACGAGCAGGCCATTTGATCTGCTGCTGCTGCAGCTGCTGCTGCTGCAGCTGCTGCTGCTGCTGCTGCTGCTGCTGCAGCAGCTTTGAAGGGGGATTTGTCTGAAACTGCCTGGACTTCGCAGGTGTTTTTGGAGTACGTGCGGGCGCCGCTGCCGACAGCCACGGGGGTTGCTGCGCCGCCGCCGAGCGACAGCAAAGGCAACATGCATTTTGTTTCTGTTTATGTTGGGTCTTTGAAACTTTTGGGAATTCCGGAAGATTACGACGGCTCTGCGAAACTCAGCGAAGACAGAAAAGGCCAAAACGTCTCCGAGCTGCTGCTCCAGGCCGGCCTCGCCAGGACCGTCCCGCACAGGGCCGAAGACGATCAAGCGGAGGTGCGCTGCTGCTGCTGCTGCTGCTGCTGCTGCTGCTGCTGCTGGTTGCTGCGCGCGCGCTGGGCTGTCTGGTGTTTCTCCTGCTGCTGTGGTGCGCGTGGTAGTGCTGTTGCTGCTGTTAGTGGCGCTGCTGCTGCTGCTGCTGCTGCAGTGGCTCTGTCGCCGTGCCTGCGTCCTGCAGCAGCTGCAGCAACAGCCGCAGCAGCAGCAAAAGCCCGTTGTCCGTTCATTGTGTTTCCTTTCTTCCTGGCTGCTCTTTCCAATTTTTATTCATCATCATTTTTAATTTCTTATTTGTCGTCTGAACAACTGCTGCTCCGGAGTGTACGTACTCTTGAACGCGGCGTTTGCAGCTCAGCTGCTGCTGCTGCTGCACTGCAGCAGCAGCAGCGTCTGTCTTTGTGCAGATTACACTAGACCGAATATAAAGTGAACATTATTAACAATTTTAACATTTGTTTTGCAAAGTTGTGAACATTTATAAGTAATTTTAACATTTGTTTTGCAAAATGCACTTTTGCTGCTGCAGCGCTACGACGTGTACCAGCAGCTGGAGAAGGAGGCGCAGGCAGCAAAGCGCGGCCAATTTGCTGCTGCAGCAGCAATTAAAGTAGTTCGTTTGGTGGACTTAATGGGCCCTGCAAATGCCCAAAGAGCTGTGGCTCATCTGCAGCAGCTGCAGCGCTACCCCCAGATCGAAGCCATTGTTGAAAACGTCTTCAATGCTGCGAGATTCAGACTCAGGATTCCTTCAGTGAGAACCAACTTGCTGCTGCTGCTGCTGCTGCTGCTCTCGCTGCTGCTGCTGCTGCTGCTGCTGTTTGGCGGATTCGGGTGGCGCGCTGCTTTTCTGCAGCTGTTGCTGCTGCTGCTGCTCTCGCTGCTGCTGCTGCTGCTGCTGTTTGGCGGATCCGGGTGGCGCGCTGTTTTTCTGCAGCTATTGCTGCTGCTGCTGCTGCTGCTGCAGCTGCTGCAGGGCCTCGGCGACGTTGATTTGTGCTGCGTTTGCTGCTGCTGCAGCAATCTCTGATAATATCTTTTGCCCTTTCCGGGATCCGCTGCCCGCAAACAGCCAGGGGGCCCCTCCCGGGGGGCCCCAAAGAAAGAGCTGCTGAGCCTTATGGCCCGGAGGCCCTTCAGTTCAGCCGCAGCAGAGTGCTGCAGCGCGAGGTGTACATACAGGTGGAGCAGTGCGACAGGGGGGGCAACTTCATAGGCACGCTGCTGTACAGCAGCAGCCAGCAGCAGCAGCAGCAGCAGCAGCAGCAGCAGCAGCAGCAGAGGGTGAACCTCGCGGTGGAGCTGCTGGCAGCAGGGCTCGCGCAGACTGTGCCCTTCTCGCTGGCCCGCAGCGCATGCAGAGAAGCTCTTGCTGCAGCAGAAGCAGCAGCAAAAGCAAACCGAATTAACTTGTGGGGCCTCCCGGGGGCCCTCGAAGAAGATAATGAACCTGCTGAAACTTTCATGGAAAAGAATCTTAGCGGAGTTGTTGTTTCCCACATCGACAAATTCGACTCCTTCTACATCCAGGTGCGCAGCTGCGTCTAGGGTTTAGGGTTTAGGGTTTAGGGTTTGGGGTTTGGGGTTTAGGGTTTAGGGTTTGAGGTTTCGGGTCAAGGGTTTAGGGTTTGGGGTTTAGGGTTTAGGGGTTGGAGCTTGGAGCTGATGAATACTCTGCTCACATAGATTACATGGATTTGGGTTTTAATAGGTCTAGGGTTTAGGGTTTAGGGTTTAGGGTTTAGGGTTTAGGTTGGTGCGAAAGGTCTTTAGAAGTTGTTTCTAGGGTTTAGGGTTTGAAGTGTTTGGGGGTTTGCGTGAAGGAGGAAAGAAGCGACAAGTTGGACTCCATAGCAGCAGAAATCAGAGAAGCAACAGCAGCAGCAGCAACAGCAGACTCCACTTATACTCTCGCGGGAATGCCGCGAAAAGGCGAAATCATTTTGGGGCTGCATGCGGCCGACGGCCAGGTTTGCTGCTGCTGCTGCTGCTGCTGCTGCTGCTGCTGCTGCTGCTGCTGCTGCTGCCAGCTGTTGCACCTGCGTTTGCGTACACCTATCACGTCTGCTGCGCTTAATAATTGAACAGCGTTTTCAAAATCCACCAAAACGAGCTAGACTCAGCGCAGCAGCAGCTGCAGCAGCAGCTGCTGCAGCAGCTGCTGCAGCTGCTGCTGCAGCTGCTGCAGCAGCAGCTGCTGCTGCAGCAGCGGGCCAGGGCTGCGGCTGTGCGGGCTTGCTGCAGTGGTACCGCGCGAGGGTGGAGGGCCGGGAGGGCCCGCAGCTGAGCGTTTGCTACATTGACTTCGGCTTGAAGGAGAAGTTGGGACTTAGCCAAATTCGGAGGTGCCCCGCCGCCCTCACTGCTGCTGCAGTGCCCCCCCAGGCCACGCACTGCATGCTCTCAGGTGCAGCCCGCTGCTGCTGCTGCTGCTGCTGCTGCTGCTGTGGGGGTGCTGCTGCTGCTGCTGTGGGGATGATGCTGCTGCTGTGGGGATGGTTCTGCTGCTGCTGTGGGGGTGCTGCTGCTGCTGCTGTCGGGATGATGATGCTGCTGTGGGGATGGTGCTGCTGCTGCTGTGGGGATGATGCTGCTGCTGCTGTGGGGATGCTGCTGCTGCTGCTGTGGGGATGGTGCTGCTGCTGCTGTGGGGGTGGTGCTGCTGCTGCTGTGGGGATGGTGCTGCTGCTGCTGTGGGGATTATGCTGCTGCTGCTGTGGGGATTATGCTGCTGCTGCTGTGGGGATGATGCTGCTGCTGCTTTGGGGGATGCTGCTGCTGTGTGGGATGTTGCTGTCGATGGGGCTGCGGCTGCTGCTGATGCTGCTGTTGCTGTTGCTGGCGTTGGGGATGAGAAGGGGAGGGAGTCGCCGCTGCTGCTGTTGCTGCTGCTGCTTCTGCTGCTGCTGCTGCTGCTGCTGCTGCTTCCAATTGGGTCTTCGCCTGCTGCAACCGCCGCTGCTGCTTCGCTGCCCAGCAGCTGCAGCAACTCTCTCTGCCCGTCGCTCCCGCTGCCACAACCGCTGCTGCTGCTGCTGCTGCTGCTGCTGCTGCTGCTGCTGCAGGGCTGCTGCCGCCGCCAGACATGGAGGAAGACGCAGCAGACGCGCTGCATGCGCTGACGGAGGGAATGGTTTTCCATTGTTTGATTGAAGGACTCAGCAGCGACAAGAAAAGGCTTTGTGTCTTGACAGCTGAAGAGGACTTTTCCGAGAAAAGTGCGGATTGCTGCTGCCCTTCAGCTCCTTTTTCCTTGCTGCTGCTGCTGCTGCAACCCCGCTGCTGCTGCTGCTGCAACTCCCGCTGCTGCTGCTGCAGCCCCCGCCGGTGCTGCTGCTGCTGCTGCAACTCCCGCTGCTGCTGCTGCTACCGCCGTGCTGCACCCCCCTTTGCTGCTGCTGCTGCTGCTGCTGCTGCTGCAGAGCCGTCTGTGAACGAGAAGCTGCTGGGCATGGGTTTGGCGCTGCTGGACCGCAAGAGCAGCTGCCGCTTCTTCTCTCGATTTGCTGCTGAAGAACAAAAGGCCCGAAAAGCTCATTTGAATGTTTGGAGATATGGAGATATCGGCGAAGACGAAGAAGACGAAGACTTTCCCGCACTTCACAAGCAGCAAAACAAGCACGCACTCACTTCTTTGTTTTCTTTTGTTTCTTTGTTTTGTTTTGTTTCTTTTCATTGTTTTGTTTTATTTTATTGTTTTGTTTTATTTTATTTGTTTTCTTGTTTCGTTTGTTGTACTTTGTTGTTCTGTTTAACGTTGCCTTGTTGTTTCGTTTTGATTTGCTTTGTTTTGTCGTCTTGTTTTGTTTTTTCTTTTTCTTGATTTTATTTTTTATTTTTATTTTTACTTTTTGGTTGTTTTCAGTTCCGTTTATATTGGGCAACTCTAGATATGCGTATACTTTGTCCTCGCTGCTGCTCTCTGCTGCTGCTGCTGTGTTAGCTGCTGCTGCTGCTTCTGCTGTGCGCTGCTGCTTTGTTTGCTGCTACTGCCCCGTGCTGCTGCTGTGTTTGCTGCTAGTGCCCGCTGCTGCTGCTGTGTTGCTGCTGCTGCAGGAAGCCGCCACCGAGGAAGTAAAGCAGCAGCAACAGGGGCTGCAGGCAGCAGCCCTTCTTTCGTTGGAAAGAAGACAAAGACAGACAATTAAACGCAGATTTGTTTATTTTGCTGCATCCTCAAGCCATTTGCTGCATCAAAGTGATAGCTCTATTTTTATTTCATGCTGCTGCTGCTGCTGCTGCTGCTGCCGCTGCCAGCAGCTAGGGCAGGCGGCGTCCAAAGCAGCAGCGACGCGTTAGAGCAAATACAAGCACATTTGCCGCCTGTGAAGCTAACAGAATGTTTATTTATTTATCATTTATCATTTATTATTATTTATTTATTGTTTATTATTTATTATTTAATAAATGCAAACTCAACATTCACTAGGAACATCTGCTGCTGAAGACGCTCGCGGCCAGCCTGCTGCTGCTACTGCTGCTGCCGGTTTGCCGGCGCTGCTGCCAGTGCTAACGCAGACAAAGCCGCAGCAGCAGCAGCAGCAGCTGCAGCAGCAGCAGCTGCTGCAGCAGCAGCAGCTGCAGCAGCAGCAGCTGCAGCAGCAGCAGCTGCAGCAGCAACGCATTTTAAATGAATTGAATCGTTTGCAGAATTAGAAGCCCCGCCACTCGCCCGGGCCTTCGGGTGTATGTACACCCATGAGCTCCCGCAGCGCCATTGTGCAGTAAACCCCTGGGGGCAGCCACAGCCGCAGCACGAGGCTTAAGTTGCTGGCCTTGCGCCTTTCATCTACTTCTACTATGCTGCTGCTGCTGCTGCTGCTGCTGCTGCTGCTGCTGCTGCTGCTGGCAGCTGCTAGCTGGTCCAGGGCCAGGCAGGGGCCGCCTGCTTTGCTGCAGTCGCGAATGAAGTCGGGGCGGAGCTCCTCGTCCAGAGATATTCGGAACGGAACGCGCTGCTGCTGCTGCTGTTGCTGCTGCTGCTGCTGCTGCTGCTGCTGCTGTTCCTTTTCCTGTTCCTGGTGTTCACCCTCCTGCAGGGTATTCGGCCCGCTCTGTTGCTGCCGCTGCTCCTGCTGCTGCGGTTGCTGCTGCTGCTGTTGCTGCTGCTGCTGCAGTTGCTGCTGCTGCGGTTGCTGCTGCTGCTGCTGCTGCTGCTGCTGCTGCTGCTGCTGCCGCTGTTCCCTCTCCGCGCGTTTCTTTTGCTTCAGAACATCTACATCGCTGAGCAGCAGCGGGGACGGCGGCTCTGCTGCTGTCGGCCCCGACAGCACTAGCTGCCAGCTGCATGCTTTTGCTGCTGCAACAATCTTGCGGTAGCCCCCAGGAAGAGACACAAGAGGGGGCCCTGCAGCATCTGCTGCTGCTTCTTTCCCTAGCAGCTGCAGCAGCTTGGCTGCGCCGATGCCCCTAAACGGCCGCCGCCGCCTGTCGCTGCAGCGCTGCTGCTGCTGCTGCTGCTTTTGGCGCCGCGCAGCAGCAGCAGCAGCAGCAGCAGCAGCAGGGTGGCGCGCATGCGCCTGCTGCTGCAGAAAGTGACGAGCATCAAGGCCCAGGTGCTGCTGGCAAATCCGCTGCAGCTCTTGCTGCAGGTACTCAGGCACCGTGTTGCTGCTGCTGCCTAGCAGCGGCAGCACGACGTCGTGGATGTCTGCTGCTGCTGCTTCCGCAGCAGAAGCAACAACCCGCACATTTGCTTCTGCTGCTCCTCCCCACCGCTGCCCTGCAGTGGCTTCATCTCCTTCATCCAGCTCCAGCATTTGCGGGTCCTCTTCTGCTGCAGCAGCTGCTGCTGCTGTTTCTGCTGCTGCTGCTGCTGTTTCTGCTGCTGCTGCACCCGAGGCCAGCTCCCCGGCCTGCTGCTGCTGCTGCTGCTGCGGCTGCTGCTGCTGCAGCAGCAGGTCCCCCGGCACGACTTTGTTTCCGTATTTTGTCCATCTGTAAGTCAGCAAATGGTTAAAGACAAAGGCTTGTGCTGCATGCAGATACAGCAGCAAACTTGCTCGCGGCAGCTGCTGCAGCGCCTCCCCATAAGAGGCCCCCCCCAGCAGCGCCACCACTAGCCGCTCTTCTAGGGTTTCGAAGCGGCTGCACTGCAGCAAGGGGCCCTCTTCGTCTTCCCTGCTGCTGCTGCTGCTGCTGCTGCTGCTGCTGTCTCTGCTGCTGCTGCTGCTGCTGCAGCTCGCGGCGTCGGTTTCCGTGGCGGCGCCGGGGTGCTGCTGCTGCTGCAGCTGCTGCTTCTTGCGCATAGCCTCCTTCATTTGCTGCTGCTGCTGCAGGAGGTCTGCTGCCTGCTTGAGTTTGCTGCTGAGGATTAGCCGCACAGCCCCCCGGTGGTCCCCCCGCAGCAAACAGGCCCCCACTGCTGCTGTTTGTGTGTCTTTGCTGCCAAACCGCTGCAGCCCGAAGTAATTCAAAAAGCCCCAAGAGGAAAGCTGCTGCATGCGCTCGCTTATAAACGCATGCAGCGCATGCAGCGCAGCCACCGGCAGGCGCACAGCGCCCCCGCTGCTGCTGTCGCTGCTGCTGCTGCTGCTGCTGCTGCTGCTGCTGCTGCTGATGGGCCTGACGTTGCGAATCACAATCTGAAAGAAGTTGCCACGGAGCTCCCCGAGGTGCAGCGGCGCATTTGCAAAGCCCCACCACTGCAGGCAAATATTTCGGTCGTAAAGTGCATGCAGCACTGCTTCCTCCACCTGCTGCTGCGTCACCTGCAGCACAGCAGCAGCAGCAGCAGCAGCAGCAGCAGCAACGGCAGCGCAGCAGCTCGCTAGACGGCCAAAACAGCAGCAACAGCAGCGACGGCGGCAGCAGCCCTTCACAACGCAGCCACAGTCCCTGCAGCAGCAACGTCCACCGCTGCAGCAGGTTAACGGAGCAGCAGCAGCAACAGCAGCAGCAGCAGCAGCAGCAGCAGTGGCGATCGGCAGCGCCGCTGAGCAGCCGACACACCAGCTACTACCGCTGTAAACGCAGCCGCCTCAGCGCGTGCTGCTGCGGCTGCTGCTGCTGCTGCTGCTGCTGCTGCTGCTGCTGCTGCTGCTGCTGCTGAGGTGTACAGACACCTCACGTACCCTTTCTATAGAAACGAGCTGCGTAGTGACACCTCTTCTGTCCTTTGTGCCAGCAGCAAATAGAGCAGCAGCAGGACGGCCGAGGCAGCGCGAGAGGCAGTGCAGCGCTGCTGCTGTGTCTCTGTTCTGCTTCAGCAGCAACACCAGGCCGTAGCGGCCCCCTCCCTGCTGCTGCTGCTGCTGCTGCTGCTGCTGCTGCTGCTGCTGCTGCTGCGAGGGGCACTCGGGGTGCTGCGGGGACATAAGGGCTGGCCGGTCGTTGCAGAAGCGCCGGCGGTCCCCACACAGACACTTCTCTGCAGCACGAGCAGCAGCAGCAAGAATACTTGTGCTGCTGCTGCTGCTGTTGCTGCTGTCGGTGCTGCTGCTGCTGGAGTTGCTGCTGCTGTTGCTGCTGCTGATACTGGCTTCGTCCTGAGGGCTCTGCAGCTTCTGCAGCGGGCGCTTGCGGCCGAAAGGCCTCCTTACTCCATGCGAGGCCCCTTGCTGCTGCTGCTGCTGCTGCTGCTGCTGCTGGCCCCAGGTGCTGTGCCTTCTGAATAAGTAAATAAGGCACTGCGGCTGCAGGATTATCCGGATTAGCTGCTGCGGCGGAGATGCTGCTGCTGCTGCTGCAGCAGCAGCAGCTGCCTCAGCTACGGCAGCTGCATCGAAGTCGCCGTTCTGGAGGAGCAGCTGCTGCTGCTCCTGCTGCTGCCGCTGCAGCAACAGCAAATCTTGCTGCTGCTGCCTCCAGTTGGCCTCGAGAGACACAAACGGCAGCTCCGCAACAGCAGCAGCAGCAGCAGCAGCAGCGGCAGGGTTGAGCTCAGCAGCAGCCGCGGCGGCGTGCTGCTGCAAGCCTGGATTTGTGGGGTGTGAAGCAGCAGCAGCAAAGACTCCGCAAGCTGCTGCAGCAGATAGGGGAGCAGCAGCAGATACTGCAAACGGCAGCAGCACCCGCACAGCGCCGTGGGACTGCATGCGCTGCTGCTTGTACAAACCCTCAAGTGCAGATGAAGAGACGCTCCACATCGTGCTGCTGCTGCTGCTGCTGCTGTTGCTGCTGCTGCTGCTGCTGCTGTTGCTGCTGCCGTCTTCAGGGCTGCTATTGGTCTCGCTGCTGCACAGGGAAACAGGCAAGTGCGAGCTAATAACTGCAGCAACTTCCGGCCTCAGCCCCTTGCTGCTGCTTGACGCTGCAGCAGCAGCAGCTGCTGCTGCTGCAGCGGAGCCGCGTGGAGGCAGTGCAGCAAGAGCTGCTGCTGCCGCTGCTCGGATAGCTGCTGCGGTGTCTCCAAGCAGCCACAGCTCTGGCAGCGTAAACTCTGCAGCAGCAGCAGCTGCTGCTGCTGCTGCAGAGGCGTCTGAGCAGTTGCTCTCCCCTTTGGAACTGCTGCTGCTGCTGCTGCTGCTGCTGCTGTCGTCAGCAGCTGGCTCTCCCTCTAGTTCGGTCAAAGGGTTCGCTAATGCTGCAGCCTTCCGTTTGCAAGCAGCAGCAGCAGCAGCAGCAGCTGCTGCTGCTGCTGCTGCAAGACTGGGAAGCTGCTCGCTGTTTGCAGCGTCGGCAGGCCTCTCAAGAGCCTCCATCAAGTCTTTTGCTGCTGCTTTTGCTGCTGCTGCTGCCTCTGCTGCAGCAAGCTCGTGCCCTTGAAGAGGCTCCTTATCAGCGTGGGAGTCTGCTGCAGCTGTTGCTGCAGCTGTTGCTGCTGCTGTTGCTGCAGCTGTTGCTGCTGCTGCTGGCCCATTTTTTCTGGGGAGGCAATAAGCTGCCAGGGCCCGCACAAAACTTTGTACGTTTATCTGGTCAGCTAGGCTGAGCTCTTTTGCTGCTGCTGCTGCTGCTGCTGCTGCTGCTTCTTCTGCTGCTGCTTCTGCTGCTGCTTCTGCTGTTGCTTCTGCTGCAGCAGCAGCAGCAGCAGGCGCAACCTTTCTGAATGTGGGGACTGTGAAAAGCGGACTTATGAGGCCCTCGCCGCGCAGCAGCAGCTGCTGCTGCTGCCGCCTCCGCTGCAGCCACTCTATATTGGGCAGCGCCGTGAGCCGCAGCGGCTTGCCCACATCGCTGCTGTTTGCTGCTGCGCCTTGCTGCTGCTGCTGCTGCTGCTGCAGCAGGGGGTCTTCATAAACCTGAAAGTCCTCAAATAGGGCCTTTACTGCCCCCCTAAACCCCGATATGGATGTACACCCCACAGGAGCAGCAGCAAAAGGCCCATCAGCCATAAAGGCAGCAATCCCGTTCTCGCGGGAGGTGGCTTCAGCAGACCTGGGAGTCTGAGGCTGCTGCTGTTGCTGCTGCTGCTGCTGCTCGTGCTGCTGCTGCTGCTGCTCCTGAGAAAAGCTCTCCTCCTGCAGACAATGCGCCAGCTTCAGCTGCTTCTTGGGGCTTTCAACGAGAGCCTCGTGTGAGTCTGCAACCGCAGCGGGTGCAGCCGCTGCAGCAGCAGCAGCAGCAGCAGGAGCAGCAGCAGCAGATCTCTCCGCCATCTCCGAAGATACGATGGGCTGCATAGCGCTGAAGCCAAAGGAAGCTTCTGAGGCTCTTTGCTGCTTCTTCTCTATGAAGATCGGGGGCGCCCAGAGGCGGAGAACCGTGCTCGCGTGCTGCTGCTGCTGCCGGTGCAGCTGCTGCAGCTGCTGCCGTTGCTGCTGCTGCAGTAACTGCACAGAAACAGAATAAAGCGGGATACTTCACAGATAAAAGGGCTTGGATGTCTAGGGTGTTCAACTTGCAAAGGAAGGCAGCCACGGGACTCTCAGTGAGGCCCGCGTGGGGCGGCAGCGGGGCCTCTAGGCCTGCTGCTCCTGCTGCTGCAGCTGTTGCTGCTGCTGCTGCTGCTAATGTCTTTGGCCAATTTACTTAAAATATGGCGTTTTTCATCAAGCCGAAGTCGCTGTAAAGGCACATACAACAGAGAAGGGGGCCCCGGGCCCCCTGCTCTTTCGCCGTGGCCGACGCAGCTCGCGGCGGCGGCTGCAGAAGACTCTCAAGGAGAATAACTGCAACTATAGATTGTCATTCAAATGTTTTGCAATTTAGATAAATATAAAACAAAGAAAAGTCATAAATGATAAATGGCGGCAGTGAAAAGCTGAAATGCGCCTCCTGCTGCTGCTGATCCTGCCTGGTCTTTGCTGCCCTGCAACAAACACACAAGGCGCTCTGCTGGCCTCTGGGCGGCGTTTCACATTTCTTAGCAGCAGCAGCATGCTCAGCAGCAGCAGCAGCAGCAGCAGCAGAAAGAGCAACAGCAGCAGCGAGCAGCCAGCGTGGCTCTTTGGCACTCGGGCTGTGCGAGCTGCAGCAAACGAAGTGACTCTCTCAGCTCTTCCCGAAGGCTGCAGCACGGCAGCGGCAGCAGCACCAAGAGCAGCAACAGCACTAATAGCAGCAGCAACAGCAGCAGCAGCAGCACCAGTACCAGCAGCAACTGCAGCACTAGGAGCAAGCTCGCAGGGGCTGCGACAAGCAGCAGCAGCCACAGCAGCACCGACATCAGCAGCAGTGGCAAGCTCGCAAGGGCCTCCGAAGACTGCAGCAGCAGCAGCAACAGCAGCAGCAGCAGCAGCAGGGAGCAGTTTTGATGTGCTGGTCTTGACCTCCCCAGAGGCTGTGCGGCACTTTTTCCTTTGCTGCAGCGATGCCGGCGTAGCAGCAGCAGATGTGCTGCTGCAGCCGAAGCAGCAGCAGCAGGTGCTGGTTGCGGCTGTGGGCAACGCAACGGCAAGGGAGTTCAAAGAGCACTTCCGTGCTGCTGCTGCTGCTGCTGCTGCTGCTGCTGCTGCTGCTTCTCCAGCAAGGGTTTCTGGACGCAGCGACGAGCAACCCCAGCAGCAGCAGCAACAGCAGCAGCAGCAGCAGCACGGCGGAGATGCTGCTGTCCGTTTCCCGCGTCTCTTTGTTTCTACTGAGGCCTCTGGAGCTGCTCTTGCGGATCAGCTGGGTGCATTAGTTTCACAAGAAGCAGCAGCAGCAGCAGCAGCAACAACTGCGGCAGCAGCAGAAGCAGCAGCAGCTGCAGCAGAAGCAGCAGCAGCAACAGCAGAAAGGCTGTCTGCGTGCTGCAGTGACTGCGGCCGGCCGCTCTGTCGAGTGCTGTGGCCGTCTTCGGCCTTAGCAGAAAATCACTTCACCAGCTGCCAGGCCCACAGCAGCAGCAGCAGCAGCAGCAGCAGCAGCAGCAGCAGCAGCAGCCGTGCTGCTGGTCCTGTTTGCTGGCGGGTCACCAAGAGGGCCATATACACGACGGCCCACCGCAAGCTGCAGCAAACGACGCGGGCTGAGCTGCTGCGCCTCCTGAGCAGCAGACATCTCCCAAACTGCAGCAGCAGCAGCAACAGCAGCAGCAGCAGCAACAGCAGCAGCAGCAACAGCAGCAATGGGGGGAAACCCGGTGGCTGCGGCGTGGCGGTCATGTTCGGAAGCCCTTCAGCTGTGCGCGCATGGGCAGAGACCAACCGCCTCCCCCTTTGCTGCAGCAGCAGCAGCAGCAGCAGCAGCAGCAGCAGCAGCAGCAAAAACTGCAACTGCCTTGTGGCCGTCTGCATCGGGGAAACAACTGCTGCAGCAGCACGAGCAGCGGGTAGGATGTGAAGGTCGTGTCGTTACAGGGCCATAGCTCTAAACCCTAAACCCTAAACCCTAGGGCTGCAGACCCAAGCCCTTGAACTGTAAACCCTAAAACCCTAAACCCTAGACCTGTTAATTCCCCTTTTTGTGTTTTTGTCGCCTCAGGCTTCCCTCAAGTCATCTCACCGCAGCAGCCTGGACTTGCTGGCTGGCTGGAGTGTCTATACACTGCAGTGGGGGCGCCGCAGCAGCAGCACGGACAGCAGCAGCAGCAGCTGCAGCAGCAACAGCAGCAGCTGCAGCAGCAACAGCCGCAGCCGCACCCGCAGAAAAAACAGCAGCAGCAGAGTGCTGAAGCAAGTAATCCAAGGCCTCTGGTGATCATAACGCGCACAGAGGCCCAGACAGCAGAGCTGCTGCTGCTGCTGCAGCAGCAGCAGCAGCTGCAGCAGCAGCAGCAGCTGCTGCTACCCAAGCCTCCGGGGCCTAGGGACTTTGCTAAAACTGACCTGCTGCTGCACCCTTTTGCTGCTGGTGCCTTCGACGTGCTGCCGCTGCCCCTCATAATGACACAAGGAGACGGCGAGCAGCAGCAGCAGCAGCAGCGCCTTCTGCAGCAGCAGCTACAGGCAGCTGCGCGCAGGTCCTTGAACTCTAAACCCTAAACCCTAAACCCTAAACCCTGCATTTCAAAACCAATGAGGTAAAACATCCAAAGATTGACTTCAAACCCGAGGGTTTCAAACCACAAACCCTAAACCCTACGGGTCCCAAAGACGGTCCCCGTAGACACAAGCTTGGGCTCATGTTCGAGTTGCTGCTGCTGCTGCTGCTGCAGTTAGCAGCAGCAGCAGCAGCAAGGCAAATTCACGAATGGGTTTCTCTCTGCAAGAAGGCAGGAACTTCCTTTTCAACATCCTGAAGAGGAAATAAACAAGGCAAACGAACTTGCTGCTGGCGGCCTAAAGGCCTTGTCTGTGTCTTTTTCTAGCTGCTGCTGCTGCTCCAGCTGCAGCAGTAGCTGCTGCTGCTGCTCCAGCTGCAGCAGTAGCTGCTGCTGCTGCTGCTATGGGCCTCACCTTCAGCAGACGGTCAACTTCATGCAAACTGCTCAGCAGCTCTCCCGGGGAGCAGCTGCGGTGTACGTACACTGCAGACCGCTGCAGCCGCTGCAGCAGCGGGTCCAAAGCCCCGTGCAGGTCTTGGCCAATTATTTTCTGTAATTAATGAGACACAAACGGGGCACAAGCTGCAGCAGCAGCAGCAGCAATAGCTGCTGGAGCTTCTGGGGTAGCAGCAGCCAGAGCAGCAGTAGCAGCAGCAAGAGCAGCAAGAGCAGCAACAAGAGCAGCATCGGCAGCAGCAGAGCAGCAGCAGCAGAGCAGCAGCACGGCTTAGACGCACTGCTAAGGGCTTGTGAAGGATCAGGGGTCTCCTGCTGCAGCAGACACGCACCGGAGCAGCAGCAGCGCCGGAAACAATGCAGCAGCAGCTGCTGCTGGGTGCACTGAGCAGCAGCAGTCCGCTCGGTGCAGCAGCAGCGGCTGCGGCGAGGTGTACGTACAGCCGCAGCAGCAGCGGCTGCGGCGAGGTGTACGTACAGCCGCAGCAGCAGCAGCTGCGGCGAGGTGTACGTACAGCCCGCAGCAGCAGCAGCAGCGGCTGCGGCGAGGTGTACGTACAGCCCGCAGCCGCAGCCGCAGCAGCAGCAGCGGCTGCGGCGAGGTGTACGTACAGCTCGGCCTGCAGCAGCAGGCGCCGGGCGACGTCCAAAGGCTTTCCACTTTTGTCAATGTGGCAGTCGAGCGGCGGCCGCAGCAGCAAAAGAGAAAAGTTGAAAGCCCCGCAGCAGTAAAGGTACTTGACAGCTCGCGGGCAGTCGTGCATGCAAGCAGCAGCAGCGCAGCAGCGGCTCAGCGACAGCAGCAGCTCGCCGCTCCCTGCGCGCAGCGCTCCAAACCCTAAACCCTAAATTCGGGTTTGGGAACTCAGCCGCTCGCTGGGAAACGGCGCGGCCCAGCGCTAACCCTAAACCCTAAACCCTAAACCCTAAACCCTACGAAGTGAGACGCAGCCTCACGGATGGACAGACGGATCGGCTGCAGCACGTGCGCTGTTGGCAGCTCCGTGCTGCTGCTGCTGCTGCTTCCTGATCCCTCAGTGCTGCTGCTGTTGCTGCTGCTGCTGCTGCTGCTGCTGCTGCTGAAGGGCTGGGTGAAGTAGAGCCAGAACAGCAGGTAGACGAGCCCAGCCCGCTGCAGCAGAAGCTGCTCGTCCCGCGTGAGTTGCGCAGCAGCAGCAGCAGCAGCAGCAGCAGCAGCCAGCTCGCTGCTAGCTGCTTCAACAGCACTCATGCAATCTTGGTAAGCTTTTGCTGCTGGCAGCAACTCCTCTGTCTCTGTGTCAGTCTCCAGGCCCTGCCTCTCCGCCGTGGTAAACAACTCCTCTTCAAGCAGCAGTGCTGCGCGCCAAACCCTAAACCCTAAACCCTAAACCCTAAACCCTAAACCCTAAGGGCGGGCAGGCCTCCTTGCGTCTGCGTCGCCGCGCAGTCGCAAACCCTAAACCCTAGGCGAGGGGGGCTGGGGCTCAGCGTTTAGACTTCAACTGGTGGTTTGAACTTTCGAGTCTGGGTTTGGACCTAGGGTTTAGGGTTTAGGGTTTAGGGTTTAGGGTTTACTCTCCCAGACAGTGTTGAGAAAGGCAAACACGTCTTGAGGGTCTTCTAAGGGAATTGGCTTTGAAAGGCAGCAAGCTGCTCGCGAAACAGCAGCAGACACAAACAGCTCGAAAGTGCCCTCAGCAGGCAGCCGGCTTTGCTGCTGCTGCTGCTGCTGCTGCTGCTGCTCGCGCTGCTCATGCTGCTGCTGCTCGCGCTGCTGCTGCTCATGCTGCTGCTGCTGCTGGCCAGGACCTCGGGCTTGGGCTGCTGCTCCAGCTGCCGCATCAACGGGGACGTCCAATCCCCCTGAGGATGGCTGTTGGCCTAGAGAACTGCTGCTGCTGCTGCTGCTGCTGCTGCTGCTGCTGCTGATTTGCTGACAAACGAGCAGCATGAAGTGGCAGCAAATGTCCTTTATGTCCGCCTCTGTAAAGCCCCCTCGCCCCGGGTAGATAGTTGGCCTGTAGAGGCCCCTCCATACATCGCCACAGCGCAGCACTGCGCGCTGCTGCTGCTGCTGCTGCTGCTGCTGCGGAGCCTCGGCAGCAGCTTCTGATGCCGCTGCTGCTGCTGCGGGTGGCATGGCTGTGGTGCGAGTGGCCTCGGTATTGCTGCTGCTGCTGCGGCTTCTCTCACAAGCTACTGCGTTCCCGCTGCTGCATTTGGTTGCGCCTGCTGCTGCTGCTGCAGCTGCGGGATCTGGCGATGGCGCTCCATAGGCGCCGGACCGCCGAAGGTTCCCTCGAGGCCTATCGCTGGCTGCTGCGGCTGCTGCGAGCTGCGTTGCTGCTGCTGCTGATGGTGCTGTTGCTGCGGCTGGAGCAGCGCCTGCTGCTGCCCTCACAGCTGCTACTGCGGCAACAAAGCCCGCCAGAAAAAGCCCTTTTCCCTCGATTACTGCAGCTCTATAGGCGGAATGCCTATTTGCGAGTGGGCTGCAGCAGCAGTGGCTGCTGCTGCTGCTGACGGACAAGACCCCGGTCAGTGGGATAAAGAGGAAGGAGCGGGGCGGCAAACTTCCGCCCTTGAGTCTTTGTCTTCTGTTTAGAGACACAAAATTTATTTTAAATGGTCTCGAGGAAGAGAAGCTTGTTGGGACGACGTCCGGAGGAGTCTCAGCAGCAGAAGCTGCTGCTGGAGTAGCAGCAGCTGCTGCTGCTGCTGCTGCGCTATACGTCGTGGCTGGGGAGCGAGGCAAAAAGAAAGACCGAAGCTGGGATAAGTAACAACACAACTGCTGCTGCCACTTTGAGTCTCGTTAGTTTATACATTACCGCAGCAGCAAGAGAAGCAGCAACTCCAGCAGCCGCAGCGGCCTCTCACTCTTGCAGTCTACGCGGAACCGCTATATGAGAGTAATCGTCTTCTCCTCAAGTGCATGTGCACTCAAATAGAGCAGCAGCAGCAGGAAGAGCAGCACCAGATGCCAGTCACCCGGCGCTGCCTGCCTTGCCCGTCTACGGCAAAACAGCAGCGCAGCAGCAGCAGCAGCTACGCCTCTTCCTGCTGCGTTCTACACCGTTTTGCTGCTGCTGCTGAGTGACGCAGAATCCCCTGGGTAGCCGCCCTGCTTCCAGTGGCTCGGGCCCTCGAGACGAGACACGCCGTCAGCAGCAGCAGCAGCAGCACTCGCGGCAGCAGCAGCAGCCGCTGCAGCACTAGTGACTGCTGCGCGTGAGGCCCCGGGGCAGGGAGCCTGCGCACTTGGCGCGTTTCGTGCTGCGCATTGCTGCAGAGCAGCAGCAGCAGCAGCAGCAGCAGGCCCACAGGCAAATCCAGCAGCAAAAACAGCAGCCAGGACAGGTGCAGCAGCAACAGGGACAGCAGCAGCAGCAGCGACACCAGACGGTGCTATACCGTGTCTTTTATCTCTTTTATACAGCCTCCGCAAAGGTCTTTCTCTCATCAAGAGCCCCACCCGCAGGCGGGAGAGTTCTGCTATTGCTGCTGCTGCTGCTGCTGCTGCTGCTGCTGGTCCAGCCACAGTCAGGGATGACCGCAGCAGTTCCAGAAGCAAGCTCAGCTATCATGTTACACAGTTCAGCAGCACTAGCAGCACAAATGGTGTCTGTAGCGCAGAAGTAGCGGCGTCGACAGCAGCAGCAGCAGCAGCAGCAGCAGCAAAAGCAGCAGCAGCAGCAGCACAGGCAACCTCCAACGTTGCTTTTTTTTGATGTAGATAAGCATTCTTGTTCGGGGAGGATGAGCTCTGCCTGACTGACTCTGCGTGCAAGACGAAGCCAATGCCCTACAGAGCGGCTCAGCAGCAGCAGCAGCAGCAGAAGCAGCAGCAGCAGCAGCAGCGCTTCTTAAGTTGCAATGGGGAACGACAGTCTAACCCCTAAAAGTGCTGATTCTCGGCTGCACGAGCTGCAGCAACAGCCGCAGCAACTGCAGCAGCAGCCGCAGCAACTGCAGCAGCAGCAGATTCCACAGAGGCAGGATGAGCCGCACCAGACGGAGCAGCAGCAGCTGAACGCGCCGCCTGAGCAGCAGCAGCAGCAGCAGCAGCAGCTCCAGACAGATGAGACTGAGGGCGGCATCAGCTCCCAGCCACTTTCGAAAGGCTTGCGGCTTCAGAAGCAGCAAAAGGAAGTTGACTCAGCAGCAGCAGCAGCAGCAGCAGCAGCAGCAGCAGCTGGGGATACCGTTTTTTGTGGCCTTGGATCTAACGCCGTATCTCTTGCGCGAAGCAGCAGCGCTGATGAGGCAGCCGCTGCTGCAGTGCGTGCAGCTGCAGTAGCAGCAGCAGCAGCTGCTGCTGCTGAGGCGGCTGCAGCAGCGGCTGCGGAAGCAGCAGCAGCAACCGCTGCAGGCATCCAGCAGCGGCCTCCCGCAGCTGTCCATGCAGCAAATAATCCAAGTGGCACCGGCAATAGCAGCAGCAGCAGCAGCAGCAGCAGTAGCAGCAGCAGCAGCAGCAGCAACAGTCATGGAGCAACGAAAACGATCTCCCCCTTGAGGTCTCCGGATGATTTACAGCGGAGCTCCTCACCTGCTGCTGCTGCTGCTGCTCTTGGGACTGTTCCTGCTTGGGGGCAAGTTTCGCCTAACAGCAACAGCAGCAGCAGCAGCAGCAGCAGCAGCATGCAGGCCACCGACAGCGGTTGCAGCAGATCCACGAATTCATCTAGGCGTGTATCGCCTGTGGCTGGCCTCTGCTTGGAGTCTGGTGGCGCTTTGTTGCCAACAGAATCAGCAGCTGCTGCACTTCCTGCTGCTGCTGCTGCTGCTGCTGCTGCTGCTGCCGTTGTCCCAGCTGTGCTGCAGCAGCAGCAGCACGACGTTGGCTCCACCTTGCCGGTGGGACAGTTGGTTACTGAGGTCTCGTTACCGGGCGGGATCTCGTGCCCTGCCCTGCAGCAGACGCAGCTGCAGCAGCAGCAGCAGCAATTGCTGCAGCAGCAAGAGCTTTTGCTTCGGCTGCCGGAAGGAGAAGCAGTCAGCCTTGAGTTGTGTGAAGGCAGCATGCCGCAGCAGATGCAGCTTTGCCTTGCTGCTGGCGACGTTTGCGCATTTGTCGAAGGGCCGCCGCAGCAGCAGCAGCCACAGCAGCAGCAACAGCAGCAGCAGCAGCCCGCCTTTGCAAAAGAGGCACAGTTTGGTGGCCTAGAAGTTGAACAGCAACAGGCTCAGAGCCTGCAGCAACTGGAGCAGCAGCAGGAGCTGCCGCTCCCGCTGCAGCTCAGCGAGCCACGAAGCAACGAGGACTGCGTGGATGACGAGAGTATCGACCCTGACAGCAGCAGCAGCAGCAGCAGCAACAACTGCAGCAGCAACAACGGCTGCGGAAGCGATGAGGACGCAAGTATGAGCGTCGATGCAGAGGAAGGAGTAGCTGCTTCAGTGCAGCAGCTGCCTGCCCTCGCAGCAGCAGCATTCGCGAGTGTTTCAGGGCCGCAGCAACAGCAGCAGCAGCTGCAACATTTGGAGCAGGAGCGGCTGCTGCTGCTGCAGGAAAGCCGATACTTGCAACACGAGCATGCAGAGCCCTACGGCACTGTAGTATCTCTTCATGAGAGCAGCAGTGCCGGCAGCACAGCCTTTGATGAGCAGCAGCAGCAGCGGCAGCAGGAGCAGCACTTGCAGCAAGGTCTCGCGCTGCAGCAGCAGCAGGAAGAATTCTTAAGGGAAGCGGAAGCTGCAGCGAAACAGCCGCTTGCCTTCGAGTGTATGGACACCGATTGCGACCCGTCGCAGGTCCCTCCGACTAGCTCGCAGCAGCTGCAGCAAGAGCAGCAGCACGCAGAGCAGCAGCAGCAGCAGCAGCAGCTGCAGCAAGAGCCACAAGAGAGCAGCATGGCTGGAGACGCCGGCAACAGCTCGGACGCGAGAACAGTGGGTCCCTTTTTATGCGGCATCTGCATTGAATGCATCATGCTGCTGCTGTTTTGATTGCTCCTGCTGCTGCTGCTGCTGTGTCTGCTGCTAGTGTCACTGCGGCTGTTGCTGGTGCAGCTACTGTTCCCCCTACTGCTTCTTCAAGTGTTCTTTCTGCCGCTGCTGCCGCTGCTGTCACTGTTCTCTCTTCTGCTGCTCTTGCTGTTGTTTCTGCCGCTGCTGCTGCTCCTGCTCACGGTGCTGCTGCTGCTGCTGCTGCTGGCGCTGCAGCAGGCTGCGGAGGAGGCTGAGGTCGAGGAGCTGCTGCAGTACTACGGGGCCCCCAGGCCCTCGGACGCTCGTTACCAGCACCTGACTGCTTTGATTTACCTTCACTTCTTGAGTGCGGCATTTTCATTTTTTTTCATTTTTGAAGTTTTGTTTAATTTCTCTTTGTTGATTCATTTTAGGGTTTTTTCCAGGTTTCAATTTGGGGTTTAGCCGGGGTTTCAGCTGCTGCTGCTAGTGTCTGCATGCATGTGTGAAGATTGAAACAAATACGTATTAAATGTACATAAACCATATATTTATTTATATATTTATTTATTTGCAGATGCCTATGTGCATGTCTCTTTATATATATATATATATATATATATATATATATATATATATATATATATATATATATATATATATATATATATGTATACATGTCTTCACATTTGGATGCACATATGTATGCATTTAACATGTTTATTAACGGATGCAAATGTTAAGGGTTTTACATATTTCATACAGAGACACATATGTACACCCCTTTATATGTATACGTTTATATGTGGGTGCGTATATACATGCATTACATGTATATATAATCTATATATTATATACACACATATATATATATATGTATATATAATATGTACATGTATATACATTATTTATAATACATTATTTATGTATATATCTGTCTACATACGGTTACATATCTACATGTACTTACATTTTAGTATAAAGAATGTATGCATCTGCACATGTTTCTGTGTATACACAAACCTATATGTATATATATTTAAATATATATTGTACACAATTCTAAATCCTTGTATACACAGATAGATATATGAAGGCAGCCAGAAAAGCCCAGATAGATCCTTGTCTTTTAGGCCCTTACAAACATGTACCTTTTTGACGCAGCTGATAAGACTGCAGCGAGTGTTTGACTTCGCAGCGCGTAAGTGTACGAGTCCTCACAAGCGCTGCTGCTGCTGCTGCTGCCGCTGCTGCTGCTGCTGCTTCTGCTGCTGTGCGCTGCAGACTATGTGGACCGTGGGTTCTGTGGGGAGGCTTCGTGCAGCGACTTGAGCCCCGACTGCCCCTTCGTATTTGATTTGGGGGACGCGAGGCGCAGCAGCTACGGCACTGCATCTCTCTTTGATTTGTTCACTGCGCTGCTGCAGCGGTACGGAGCTGCTGCAGTTGAGGCTGTCTTTGCCTTGGTGGCAGTGCCAGTGAGGTTTACGCATTACATACAGTGCCACGTGCTTGGAGCCAAGCAGCAGCAGCAGCAGCAGCGGCGACAGCAGCAGCAGAAGGGGCAGTGCGGCTGCAGGTGCTCAGGCGGCTGTTACGGCCGCCGCAGCAGCAGCAGCAGCAGCAGCAGCAGCAGCAAGCAGGGAACGCAGCAGGCACAGATATGCACAGGAGTTGTCCCCTGCTGCTGCAACGTCACCTTCCTTGCCCCACACCCTCCTGCAGCAGCAACTTGTGGCTGCTTGGGGGACCTGCCTCCCGCCTTTCCAGAGTCTTTGCGGCGTCTGCTGCCGCCTCGCCGCGACTCTGCAGCAGCTGCAGATGACGAGGACAGCCCGACAGCAGCTGCGCAGGGCTGCTGCGGAGAGGCAGACGAGCTGCAGCAGCAGCAGCAGCTGCAGCAGCAGGCGCTTCACTCGTCTGCGACGAGCACATGCGACAGCAGCAGCTGCAGCCGCCGCTGTAGCAACAGCAGCACCGCGTGCTGCTGCGCCAGCAGCGCTGGAAGGTCGCGCCTTCGAGACAAGGGGAGTCTGACAGAAAACGTGAGCAGCAGCAGCGACTGCTGCTGCTGCAGCACGAGCTGCTGCTGCTGCTGCAACAGCCGCTGCAGCAGCCCCGTGCTGTTCACGGCCCGGGACGTGGCGCGGCGCTCCTACACCGTGTACGACTTCTTGATCTCTTGCCTCGGAGATGGTTTTGCTGCTTTCTTTCCTGCGGACTGTCCCCTCGCATGCATGCGTTTGTCTACAGCCAGCGACGCCACCTTCAGGTCGCGGGGCCCCGGGGGGGCCCCCACAGACGCCTGCCTCTTTTTTCGGTCTTTTCTGGATAGGTTTGCTGGAGTTGCTGCTGCAGCGCTGCTGCAGGGGCTTCACCCGGCCACCTGCAGCAGAGGCAGCAACCCCTATCACATCACTAAGCTGCTGGAGCTGCTGCTTTTCTGCACCAACGGGTCCATAGAAACTCTGCCCTCACACGTAGTTGTGGCGCACCCGGGAGACACTGGCGGCGGCGCTGCTAGTACCAGCAGCAGCAGCAGCAGCAACAGCAGCAGCGGCAACGGGAGCAGCACAAGCAGCCTGGGACAGCCGCAGCAGCCTGAAGAGGAGAGGGAAACTTTCCTGCCGGCGGTGTCGAAGGACAACGAAACCACAGCAGCAGGTGCTGCTGCTCTGACGGGGTCGCCAGTAGCGGCAGAATCAGCAGCAGCAGAGCCTGGCAGCAGCAACTTGTACGCCTGCAGCGCTATATCTCTTTCAGAGGTTCTGCGGCACTTGCTGCTGTCTCTGTCCTTCCCCTCCTCTCAGGAGCTGCTGCTGCGCATCACCGGCAGCAACAGCGCATGCGTGGGGCCTATCGGGGCACCCGTGCTGCAGGCGCTGCTAGAAGGCTGCAGCTGGAGGGCCTTTGTTGCTGCGCTCTTGCGGCAGCGGCACTTCGACAGGCGCGGCAGTTTGCTGCTGCAGCTAGTCAGTGAAGGGGGAGGAGCCAAATGCGCTTGCAGCAGCAACGCCAACAGCAGCTGCTGCTGCTGCTGCAGCAGCTGCACTGGACATCCGCAGCAACAAGATCTGCAGCGGCACCAACGGTGCTCGCATATGAACAGAGGCAGCAGCGTTCAGCGACGCTCTTCTGCTGCAGCTCAGTTACAGAATGCTGTTGCTCGCTCCCGCCGGGCCCGCAGACAGCAGGGGGAGCAGCCGTTTTGCTGCAGCAGCAGCAGCAGCAGCGGGGAGAGCAGCTGTGTGCAGTACGCACCAGCTGCCTTCTCTGACCCTGCCACCAGCAGCATGAAGCACCTCCGCAGCAGCCTGATGGCGCCGCTCACGAGCTGCTGTTCTTGTAGATGGGGCACCCCTGGCTCTCGGTGGCTGATCCGTGCTGCTGTCAGCAGCAAGGCGGAGCGCCTGCTGCTGCGGCGTGAGCTGCACCAGCAGCAGCGGCAGCAGAAGCGGAAGCAGCAGCACGGCGAAGGCCACCAGCAGCAGCAGCAAATGCGGAGCCTGCATGCGACTTCTGGCGGGAGCCTTTCGGGCTGGAGAACAAAGGCAGCCCGCAGCAGCTGCGGCGGCGGCAGGGGAAGCAGACGCAGGCCATCATCTGCTGCTAAGTAAGTAAACAGACAGAAACAGAAAGAAACAAAATCAAAGGGGCAGCAGCAGCAGCACAGACAGTAGAAACGAAGAACTGCATATGTAGCCGCATAGAGGGGCAGGTGCTGTGGAGCAGCAGCAGCCAGTATCCCAGCTAGGTATTAGGGGAGAAGTGCAGCATTTGCTGCAGAAACACAAGTGCAAACGCAGCAGATTTAAACACATCTGTGTCTTTTGCTTCACAATTGTCGCAACTTGCTGCTGACCTTTTGTGTCATCTGCTGCGGCGCGCAGCAGCAGCTCGGTTTCGCCGTCGTCGCGGCGACGCCTATTCAGCGGCCATTCTGCGGAGGCGCCCCATCAGGCGCAGCAGCAGCAGCAACTGCTGCAGCAGCAGCTGTGCCCATCTCCTGCCAGTGAGCTGCTGCACAATACTCTGCAGCTTCCTCGTAGGGGAGTCAGCAGCGGCAGCGGCCCCTCCGTTTGTGCTGCTGCTCCTGCAGCGGCTGCAAGCCGTGCTGGCTCAAGCCCCCCGGAAGCGCGCACCCAGGAGGCTGACCGCAGGCAACAGAACAGCAGCAGCAGCAGACAACACATGCAGCACCAACAGCAGCAGCAAGTACAATCACAGCAGCACCGAATATCTCGGGCGCATGCAGAGGTGCGACGGCAGCGGCGGCAGCAGCAGCGGCTGGCGGAATACCGGCACCGGTTTCCCCATTTAGTTTATTCAGATACAGAAGCAGCAACAACAGTCCCGCTTCATTCTTGCCCAGCAACAGCAGCAGCAACTGAGACAAGCGCAGCAGCTAGCAGCGGGTCTGCATTGGGAGCAAGCGCAGCAGCAGGAGATGCTGGATCGTGGGGCTGGGGCGTCGTAGGGCCCCCCCCTGGGGGCCCATTATACCCACTGCACTTCCACTTGTGGGCCCTCCACGTGAAGCGGCGGTATCAGCAGCAGCAGCAGAAAGCTGCTCTTGCTGCAGCTGCCGCTGCTGCAAGGAGGCGCAGCTCAGCCTGGGCTTCTCCTCTTAGCTGCGCTGCACCACTGTTTCCCCAGCAGCGTAGCAGGTGGCAGGTGCAGCACGGGACTGTTGCTGCAGCAGCTGCCGCTGCGGAGGCGCGAGAGGAAGTAGAGTGGGGCCCCAGCTCTGCAAAACGGCCCCTCCCGTGCAGTGGTAGCTTGGAAGGGGAGGAGATCCTCCTGTGTGTGTCTGCTGCTCCTCCTGCAGCGGCAGACAGCGCGGCCGCAGCTGGAGAGAGCAGTGCTGCTGCGCCTCCAGCTGATGACAGCAGCAGCAGCCGGCGCAGCAGCAGCAACGGCAACATCACCAGCAGAGTGCAGCGCGAACAGTGGACTGTCACCGCCCTACACAGCTCTGAAGGCTCCCAGTCATCATTCCTTGAACAGAGTGCAGCTGCAGCAGCCGCAGCAAGCGCGTCGGCTGCTGCTGCTGGCGTTGATGCGCCGCTTCACAGCGAGCCGGCAGCAGCTGCTGCAGCAGCTGCTGCCCATTCTCAGTTGGAGGGCATGGAAGAAGAGAGGGAGGGGAGCCGTTCTTCTTGCTTGTCGAGTGTCTACACCACTGAGGCCTCTTCAGATGCCTCTCCTGTCTGCGGATCTCCCGATATATCTTTGCCTTGTGCTTCTCCGCTGCCGTTTCAAAGTCAGGGAGGCGATCCTGCTACTGCTGCTGGCGCTTCTGCCAGCTGGAGGCGAGGCACCAACTCGCACACGGCGACCAGCAGCAGCACCAGCAGCCGTGCACAGGTTTCGCTGTTCCCGCCTGCATCCGTGGTGCCGCTGTCTGTGCTGCGGGAGGCAGCACTGCCCTTAGCAGCAGCTCACCCCAGCAACTTCTTGAGCCTAGATGAACACGTGCCTTTCTTTGTTAGGCTGCTGGAGGGCGCCTACAAACATCCTGCATGCAGACCCCCAGGATGCACAGGCCTAAACGTGCCTCGCCCGGGAGTTAGCGAAGCGGAGTTTCAGGTATGTCAGTTGCTGCTGCTGCTGCTCCTGCGAAAAGGTCTCGCTTCCCATTCTCAATGGCTGCTGGGCTGCGGCTAATTGCAAGTGCAGTTGCTGTGGGTTTGCATGCGCAGCTCTGGATGCAGCAGAAGCTGCAAGAGGGAACGACAGACATGGCGGAGGTTTACGGCGACCCCACAATGGAAATGTCTGCGCACAAGGTGCTGCTGGAGGAGACTTTCATCAAGTCCGGATTCATTTCAGGAGTCGTGCAGGTACAGTGTTGGGCTATCTAGGTAGCCAAGTCACCGAATTTGTGGAATAGAAGCGTCATAAGTCTCCGCGTAGGTAGCTAGCTGGCTAGCTAGATAGCTCCCTAGCTAGCTAGCTAGGTAGCTCGTTAGTTAACATCGGTGCGGCCTAGCGAATGACACTCGGCAGTTCAGTCGCCAGCCTTTAGCGAGCTAGGGTTGCTGCAGGCGCCGTATGCATCGCTGCAGAGCAGGTGGTACCTGCATGCAAAGTCAAACAGCAGCAGCAACAGCACCCGCTGCAGCAGCTCACCTGCGCAGCTCACCTGCGCAGCTCACCCGTTTCTTTCTTTTTCATTGCGTCGCCCTTAGTGCCTCGTCACTGTGTACGCACAAGTTCGACGTTTGCACGTGGAATTTGTTGCTATTCTGCTCTGCTGCTGCTGCTGCTCAGAGCCTCATAAGAAAGAGAAGCCGCCGAGCCTGTCTGCAGCTGCTGGCGGCCATTGGCGCCCACGCGCAGCCCTTTCGTTGTCTTGCTGTTTTCCATGCTGAGGTGGAGGCACAGTTGCTGCAGACCCCACTCGCCCTTGTCTCCGCACTTCTATGTTGTATTCCCAAGTGCGCAGGGTTTGCTGCTGCTGCTGCTGCTACTGCTGCTGCTGTGGGCGAGCCTCCAGCATTGACTGTAGCTGTACAGACTGCTTGGCTACACTCTTTTCTGGGGCCCAGTTCCTCCATGAAGTGCTGCAGCTGCTGCAGGCTCTACCGTTGTGACTTACTGTGCTACTGCTGCTGCTGCTCCCAGTGCGCTGGGAGGTAGCGACTTGTATCATCACTCCGTTACTTCTTCCACTTGCACAAAAATGCACAAATTCGTGTCCTTTTAGGACGCGCATTTGTGCAGGCGTTGAAGCATGCGCATATGTGCAATTGCGTTTGTCTTCAGGGGGCCATTAGGCCGCCTGGGTGTGTCCTTCATTGCGGCCATCGATGCGCTGCAGCAGTTAGTGGGTGTGGTGCCTGCGCTGCTTGAGCACTTGACTGTGTCACACTGGCAAGGGCTACTGGAGCTGTTCATCACGCGCAGATCGCACCATATATTTGCCTCCAAGCTTTTGTGCATACTCAGAAGGGTGCGCTGCTGTTGCTGCTGCCGCTGCTACTGCTGCTGCTAGCGCTGTCGGTGCAAAGGGAAGAAGGGCTTCAGTGAGGAGGTGCAGCATGCTTGCGAATGTTTGTTGCATTCGGAACACCTGCCTGTATGGTTTCATTCGTGCATGCACGCTGGCGCACTGAGCTGTGTAGACGGCAGAAACGCGCCCATGCATGCTTCGATACAAAGAAGCAAGCCCCACTGCTGCCATGCATGCATACATCGGCACAAAAAAAGGATATAAAGATGCGCGCATGCGCACATTTTTGCATGCGTACAGGCTCTGGACTTGGGGTCTGAGGAGATGCACCGCCGGCTATTTGCAGACTGTCGCTTGCTGGACCGTTTGGACCACGCAGTGTCTCAGTACCGCCAGAGTCACAGCCAGGCGAAGAGGCAGCCAGGTGAGAGTCAATCAAACGGGGGAGCAGAGCAGCATTCACAATAAATAACAGACAAGCTCCAGGTTGGTGGCATAGGTGTCAGACAGAGAAAAGGATGACTTAAGTGCAGGCAGTGGGCAAGTAACAGGCTCTGAGTTACAGTTTCAGGGCTCACTTCGTCGCCGTTACAATTGCGCCTCATGCGGTGCTGCACCCCTGCCTGTTTATCCCTGCAGCTGACGGCCTGGGGCCCATTGTGGATCTTTTGATACACATGAGCATACATGTGCAGCTTGATGGTGTTGTGCCGGCTCTTTGCCCCTCTTCTCCTTCCTCTGGGATGAACACCCCTCGGTTGGGGCCCTGCACCCCGCGTAGCAGTAGCCAGCAGCAGCAGCAGCAGCATACGCTAGCTTTGAAACTCTTCTCCCCAAGGAGTGGCGGATTCGATGCTGCCAACCCAGCAGCAACGGCAGCAACAGCAACTGGTGCTGCTGCAAGTCCTGTAACCGTCACAGCAGCAGTTTCGACGGTGTCCCCAGCGGCGTTGCTGCACTCTTTGCTCCCAGTAATTCCCATCCTTCCTCCAGCAGCATCATCAGCCCCAGCTGCAACAGCAGCAGCACCCGCTGTTCCGGCTGCTGCTGCTCCAGAGATGGCACCCACTGAAGGAGGCATGCATGCTGCAGACACAGTAGTGGACTTGCCCAAGGTCTCCTTGCCCCTCACTCCACTTGTGCGCCTTGTTGCGGAGGACGAACAGCAGCCGCAGCTGCAGCAGCAACAGGAAAGACGCGAAAGTCTTGATGGAATGGCACGACAAGCATCCAGGACCTCCGCCAACCCACATACAGCAGCAGGTGAGCTGCAGGTGGCAGCATGCATGAGGCCGGGTGGGGACAACCCCAGCAACAGCTGCAGCACGGAAACTTCTGCCTCGCAGCAGCAACAGCAGCTGCCACAGCGGCAACAACACGAACCTGCAGCGGAGAGCTCCTCTGATGGGGCCTTGGCTTTGTGCCGCGCCGGAGGAGGCGTCTCGCTTGAGAATCGCCACCAGGCACTGAACAGCGCCAGCAGCAGCAGCAGCAGCGGCAGCATCAGCAGGAGCTCTGCTGCTTCACAACCTCTAACGCCGCGGCCCCAATCGCCTGCAGTACGATCGCCAGTGCAAGCAGGAACACCGTCTCCAGCAGCAGCATATGATACTTCTGCAGAGGGTCATGTGGCGGCTGTCGTCCACTTTAGAGGGCCTGAAGGGGTGCAACCGATGGAGATTGATTTTGACCACTTCTCCCCCCCCGTGTCACCGACGGCTGCCACCACCACGCAAAACATGCAGGCAGCTGGAGAGGTAAGCAGTAACAACTGCACGCTACTTGCGGTGCTGTACATCTTTACACATTAGCAATTAGTTCTTTTTTTGGATCTGCTGCAGCAAACTTCTGAGGCTTTCGTCGTCACCCCGCCGACCCCCCAGCCGCTGGTTACTGAGGAGGGGTCAACGCAGCCCTGCAGCAGCAGCAGCAGTAGCAGTCCACGCCGACTGTCTCCTCCCCAGCCAGCATCAGCAGCGTCTGCAGCAGAGCAGCCACTTTCCGTAGCAGCAGCCACGGCAGCAGCATCCTCCGCAGCAGCAGCATCAGCAGAAGAAGCTGAAAGCGTGCAACTGTCTCCCGTCAGCTACACGGACAGCAGCTGCAGCGACGGCAACAGCAGCGATGGCAGCAGCAGTGATACCATCAGCAGCAGCAGCGATAGCAGCAGCGAAAAAGACAGCGCGAGGCGCTGCCTCGATGTGCCGGGGAGCCACCAGGGGGCACCGATGACTTACGTGACTCAGTTTTTGTTGCAGTCTCGCAAATGGCAAAAGTTGCAGCGTTTTATATCGTGAGCTCATTGTTTATTTCGTTGTCTGTTTCTCTTGCCCTCATGAAAATACCCAATGCATCTTCACCTCCACTGTGCAATATTTCTGGTATTAACACTATTTATTCTGCACAGATCTTGTCTTTGTTGGTACCATTTGCCAACTTTGTGTGTGCATGTTTCTTCACTGCCGTTGGTGGCATCTGGTATGTAGAGCGGTGCACAGGCTTCCCCTGATATATAACCGCCTTACCAAGCGCTGCGTGGTTGCCTCGTGAATGCTGTTTGTGCTGCTGCTGTTGCTGCTACAGGAAGCAGCGGAGGGGACCCTTCTTGGATCTGACAGACCCAAACAACTTCATGCCAGTGGACGAGGCTAGGCGGGTAAAGGAAGAAAGAAAAAGGCAAGAGAAACTGCAACATCAGAGAGAGGTATGGCCATAGGTAAAAGTAGCAGTAGCAGCAGCAGCAGCAGCAGCAATACCAACAGCAGCAGCAGCGACAAGTTGCACTCGGGTGATGACTGTAGCCGGGAACTACTGAGGTTGTGCTTTGCATGTCCCAAGTCGACCCTCGTATAGATGTGTTTTCCGTTCGGTTCTGTCTTTTCTGGAATTTTCCATGGATTGTGCTTTTCTCTGGTGTTACAGGGCAAGCATCGGAAGAGCAAATCTGAGAAAAAAGTAGGTTGGAACAGGGTAGTCACTAGCCATCCCCTGCCGTTATATGCATGCAGTCAAGCCCTAGCCAGTGTGCTCTGTGGCGTGGGTTCATGTGGGGTTTTTTTTCAGCGCAAGAAAGAGGGCAGCCACCACTCGTCCCATGGGCACACACCCCGTGTGGTGTTGCCGCCTGAGCAACTTGGGGAGGCCGACGAGGGTCCTCAGTTTAGGCAGGCAGAAGCAAGCCTTTTTAATACACAGCCGCTAGGGGATGGAAATCCAGGAGACATGCAGCAGCTGCGGCAGCTGCAGCAGCAGCAGCAGCCATGGAGGTCGTAGCCCATAGGCAAGTGCGGTTCTGCCTGTTTCTATTTTATTTAGGTGACCGGCGACGTGTTTTTAGACCTTACCATTATTGTGATGGCTAGAACTATTATCATTATCACTAGTTCCTCTGGCATTCTTATGTGCTCTTGGGGCCCTTAACAGTCCTTAGGTACCAAGGACGCATTCATTCTCCTCTGGCCTGGCCAGTGGAGACTCAGGTAAAACAATTGGCAGCTACAGCTGAGGCCGTAGCTACCTGTAGCAGCTGCTGTAGTAGTTGCTGCTGCTGCAGCAGATGCTACACTTTATTGCCGCTGCGGTGCAGCAGTAGGGCAGCTATGCGCGTAGTAAGGAGTCACATTGAGACCGGCTGCAGCAGCCGCTGCGGCTGCCACTGCAGCAGCAACGGCAGCCCTGCCTACTTGTGTAAATCTCCCCGCGCACTGCCTTAACTATGAAAACAAAGAAGGCTTATGCAAGAACACGTGAAGAGGCAACAGCAAAGCTGTGCCCTCTGTGTCTTGCCAGCTGTAGCTAGCCGGATTAGCGTTAGTAGTCCTATGCTTCAGCTGAAGCAACAAAAACACCAGAAGTCTTTGGAGACCATGGCAGAGTCATCGCATGCTCAATACGGGCCACCAAGACGGAAACATGCAGCAAATTTGTGCTTCTGCATATCTATTGTGGTTGTTGCTGTTGAGTGAAACACAAACAGCGTAGAGGCTTACTTGTGACGGATGAAGAGGCATTGTTTGTCTTGTCTGCTACTGCTGCTGCGGATCCCTTCTTTCGTTTCTTTTGGAGCTGCTCACAGCGCAAGGCGTGTGCTTGCTTCTCTCGTGCTTCTATGCGCCGCTGCAGCTCCGCTGCCCGGCGCTTGACCTCTTCGCGGTTCCTATGCCACATACGGACGACCGAAATCTTGTCTCTACTCAAGAGTGGAAATTTACAAGATTTGTAATAATGCGTGCTGCTGTTTATACAGAGCGCGTCCTTCCTGTAGCCCTTAACCTTAGAGCACGGGCGTCCCCCTTGCAATGCATTTTGTAACTTGCGACACGAGAGTCTAAGATTATCTGTTAGCAGCATCACCTTGCGACAGTAAGACTGGTACCAACCTTGCACTCCTCTTGTACAGTTCCATGAATTTGTTTTTGAGCTCCTGCTGCCTCTTAGCGCGCCGGTGCAGTGCCTCCAGCACCCTCGCTAACGCCTGCGGTCACAAGTAACGGCAAACAGCCAACTGGTCACGTATGTGATTCACGCTAGTGGTCACAGGGAAAAAGGGAAGGGGAGATCTGTGGCGAGGTTTGGTCATGCTGTACGTTATTGCTTGCCTTTTGTGTTTGTGTACATTTGGAGTTGAAGAGCTCCTGCCTCTTGCCCAACGCTTGCTGTATGCGTAGCATGTGTTTTGCCAGCCTCTCGAGTGTGTCTTGCCTTATTGTGGCTCTTCGGGCCTCTGCATCCCTCAGCTTTTTCTCAACTCCAGGACGATCTCCCTTTTTGTAGCGCTGTTGCCACCGCTGCAGCACTTCTTCGTAATATTTCTGGCAGATGTTTTCGCTGCTGGCCGCCGGCTGCACGCAAAAAATGACAAGCGATTGTTCTGGTGTTGGCTTTTTGCCTTGGTGCAGGGCGCTGTGTCTCGTGAGGTTCAGATCCTCTACGTTGCTTGGTGTGTAGCACTGGGGCGACATGCAGATGATGCATCGGCAGCACCTGGTAGTAGACGCTATAGCCATTGCTGTGCTTCTTCTCGCTGACAAGTATAAGTCTGCCGGCTTGAGCAGCAATCTGGCTCCGCAGCTCCTGCAAAGAAGTAGCCCCCTCCGCAGTGTTAGGTGACCCCGGTGTAGAGCAGGGAATGGCTTGTGTGGCCTTCTCAGTCGACATTTTCAATCGATCCGCCGGCTCTTGTTTGCTCTATTTATTTAAAACCGATTTTTTTACTGATGCTTATGAAGCAAAACCCTTTTCATAAAGTGCACCGACAGCAGCACGACAGAGGGGCTGGCCCGAGGCCGAAGCAGCCTAGCGGGGTCAAACGTGGACAGCCCTTGTAGCACACGAGAAAAATGTGACAAGAACTCAGTTCTACAAATTCTAAAGGGTCACTTATGTGTTTGTCTTATTTTTGAAGGATTTCCAAGTGATCGCAGCAAATAACAAGCTTGTGCGCCACGGCAACAGCGTGCAGTCCTCAACCTGTAATAAACAGGTCAAGCAGCAAAATACACTGAAAAACCCATACGAAAAAGCATTGATCTAAGAAATATACTGGTTTTGGAATACAAATTTCCGTACCTCTGGATGCGAAGTAAACTATTTACAATACGAAACTTACAAACCAAGTTCATGTCTTGCAGTTCGAATCATGCAGCTCATGCCTTCATTCAGGTATTACCTACAACGATCAAAAGAATCCGTTAGTGTGCACGTCGATAAACTTTGCTGAAATGTACTAGCTACTAGAAAATTCAGCCACATGGTCCGATTATTTACCACTTCTTTCAGGGTTGAGGACTAGAAAATTCGCATTCTGGTGCAACATATGTGGCAGCTTCGCTCACTGTCAGGTTCATGAAATCAGCCCCTAATAGTGAGGCAAAGTACTTGACCTTGTACCCGAACCGAAATCAAGCTCTCCTAATCAAAGCTACTGAGGATTTTAGAAAGGCTAAGCCGAGTTACGTGCGTCATAGCGTTCCTCCTTCAGCGAACTGAAAAATCTAGAGAAAAGCCTCGTCAAAAAATAGGCTTAAAGCTAGTAGGGTCTGATCATTATGCAATGATTAGCACGGAAGTCGGCAGTCCGGTGGCTGCACCGGCGGCACTTCACTGCCGACCAAAAAAGATGAAAGCTTGCAGCTAACTAGCTGTTGTCGTGCGACTGTAGGGCTGCTGCCGGTTTTATGCATAAATTCAGGGGTATATTCTAAAACAAAGCTCCTTACTTTATTTACAAGCCAACTGTTACCCCTTTTGCGTAGACTTGTGCTTCACGCTGCTAAGTCGGCGTCTCTGCATTGGCTCCAGCGACATGTTGACTTTGTGCACCAGCACAGCAGCGATCGCTTCGGGAGGCCAGCCGACCATCCGCCTCAGAAGCGAATCCTCTAGTGGCGCCAGTGGAGATGCCATCCTGGGGATGGTACTTGATCTGCGGGGGCCCTGAAGGGCTGGCTTTATTTTTGTTACGCAGTATCCAACTTGTGTGTGACTGTTGCCTTCTCGGCTTACCTTCCGAGTCGGCATGAGACTTGTAACCCTACCGGCTGTTGATGCAGCGGCTTGCTGCTGCGAGGCAGCCCTTTTGCTGGCTCGCCGGATGGCTGCAGCAGTGGCCCTAAGCGGCTGACGCGAATTGCTGCTGGATTGGCGCGGCATTGCCTTAGCACTATGGGCATCTCTGTGCTTCTCCTTTCCAGAACCCTCAGCTGAAGTCTTGGCTTTTGGCTTGCTGTTGGTGCCCGATCGCCGCATTTTGGTGCTGCTGGAGGCTTTCACTTTCCGGGCGGGACGAGGGAAGGAGAGGCCCTCATCACCCGTCAGCCCCGTCGGTTCGGCAACAAAGGCGTGAGCAGCCACTCGCCGTGCTACCATTGATTTAGGGGCGTCAGCAGCCGCAGGGGGCTTCATACTGACCGAGTAAGGCAGAGGCGGGAGAGAAGCCCGTTCTGCGCTACAGCGCTGAGCTGGAGCACTAGCAGCTGACAGCTGTGAAGAATAGAACATGGCTGCAAGGCGCTGCTCTTGACTTTGAGGCGAATGATAGAGCCTTGAAGTAGTCGACAGTGGAGGCAAAGAGCTGCGACGTGTGCCCTGGCAGGCAAAATCGCCGTCGATACTGCGTTGGGTGCAGGTAGCTTCTGAGTCCCTGTTTCCATTGTTTGTGTCCGCTATGGTCTGGCTGCTGCTGTTGCCCTGGCTAGTGAATTGGGAAACGCTGCTGTTGCTGTTTTCCCGGGTAGAGCCTCCAACCGTCGCGTTCTCTGTGGAGCTGCGTCTGTAGGCGCTGGAAGTCGAGGTGGCCCAAAACATGAGGGCCGTCAGCCCATCGACTCTCCGTGGGCCTGACTGCTGAACGGTGTAGTTGGAATGCACCGGGGAGGAGGCTTCATCAGCAATCTGGTTCGAACTCAAAGTACCCAGAGGGTAAAACTTGTGTTTTGATGCTTCATCAGCTGGCGCAGCAGGTGCCGTTGTAGCAGCTGTAACTGTTGTCGTTGTTGTTGCAGGGGCTGCTGCAACAGCTACTGCTGTTGCAGCTGCTCCAGGAGGTACAGTCGGCCCTACCACAAGCCTCGAATTTTCTCCCTTCACGCTGTTGATGCCCAACGGCTGTTCTCCGGTCACTACAGCAGGGCGGGGCTCTGAAAGGCCTGTCTGCTCTGTGAATGCAATGCAACTTGCTTGACTTTGGGCTGGGGAAGCTTTTGTTTTGACCGGTGGCAGCTGAGCATAATTTTCTATTGGGACACGCAAAGGCATACCGGAAAATGACCGCCGCGCTGCACAAGCTGAGGACAAAGCCAACGGACGCCATCGGCGACCAGAGAATGAAGCTCTGGTTACATTGGCAGTGCCAAACGTCAAGCAATCATGCATCACAGAGTCCCCCATAATGCTCCTAGCGGAGCGTGATGCTGCATCATGAGGTGCGGGAGAACGAAAAGACAGATGTTGTAAGAGAGGCATCGGTGCCTCAAGATGTGCAGATCTCTTTGCACTCAATGAATTGCCTGCATACCTTTCAGTTACTTGCTGTTTCTGCTGGTCTATCGCACGAAGACTTTGCTGCCGCATTCGTTCTGGGGCCGCCCACGTTTCCGTTGTGTGCGACTGACTCCTCAGCATTGTTGAGCCCTGGATTTCTCTCCGTGGTGGATAGACAGCAGGGTTTGCTTGTTGCAAAACTGCAGTGGAGGCCTTTGGAGGATAGCCACTGGCCATCTGACGGTGAGGCTTCTGAACCAAGGCAGCACAAGGACCCTGTAGCTGCCCTTTGTCTTGACCGGGGCATCGCTGCACACGGCACCGGGGGCGGAAAACAACAGGAGCTACTGAAGAGCGCAAGGGTGGACAAGGCTTCCAGTGGGCTTTTTGGTTAGCGGTGAAGAGATCCTTCCGCGGCTCTCGAACCCGAACTGCAGTACCTGCGCCCGCGGCAGTCAGCGCAGGCTGAGCAGATCTCACCATGGGGGTGACCAGGATCTGAAGACCTATGGGATTGCAAATGCGCGGCTCCCCTTCCAGGCCGCTGTTCCTTAGTGACTCATCGCCCCGTGCTATAGGGTCTTCAGTTGAAGCCCTCAGTATGCTGCTCCGTGCTCCGCGTTCTACCGGAGGAACAGAAGATAAACGAAATTCCCTTGGCAGGCATGGCTTGCCCGGTGTGTCAAGGCGTTGCCTCCTGTATGTTCCTTGATCGCTCGCGCCCCTTTCTTGCGTGTGGGCGCCAACCGGTGTTTCCTCGCAGGACCTTGCGCTGCAACCGTTATCTATGCTCTCTAGCACATTTTCAGAAATTAAAAATGCATCAGATTTCCCGTAGATAAAAAACAATTCCTTGTCTATTTTATCGTGATTTGAATAGCAGGCAGCACTGCCAAGGAAGAACTGAGTTGGAGGTAGAGCGTCAAGGATGGTCACACGTGTCCATACGGCCGTCCTTAAGTCCGCGACGTTCGCAGCGTACAGAGTTTCTTCTGGGGCCACTGGCCCATCGGCCGCTGCACCTCCATAAATGAGGAGAAGACCAGAAACGAAGGAGCTCGCATGGCGATACCTCGGCGCGGGTGCTTTGCCTACTGGGCGGATCTGCCGCCAAGAGTTCCCTTCGATGTCCCAACACCAGAGATCATCTACAGCCACTCCATTCTCTGAGCATCCAGCGCCTTTTATGCGCTTTGTGTAGCCGCCAAACGCCCACATATACCCTCCCCACACTGCCGCTGAGTGTCCAGCACGTGCAGGAGGCCACGGCAATGTAGGGCACTCATTCGTAGCCAGCCCGTCTTCTTCAGTTGAAGCTATGATAAAGAGTCTATGCCACTGGCGTGAGAGCTTAGAGAAACTCCACAAATCATCAAAAATGTCCCAAGAAGACGGCAGGAATTCTTCAAGGGGACCGGAGGCCTCTTCTCCTTCGTGGCACCCAGCAGCTGCTGCTCCTGCAAACAAAAGGAAACTTTGGCTTTGCTCATCTGCAGTTATACTGTAGTAGGATCGAGGCCTAGGTGCTGCTGTTCCCTGGCCAACCGGCCATCTCGTGAGGTGTTCGAACTCGACCTCTACTGCAGTGTTGTCACAATGACTCTCGTCCCTACACCCGATGGAGTACACAGCCAGTCGAGTAGCTTGCTTCGAGGCAAGGCTTTCTGCCTCCCCGACCAGAAGCAATGACTCATCTCCAACACGCACAAAGCCGATCTCTCCCTGGGGGCGTTTCGGGAGCTTTGCCCCGCCGTTAATATGCAGCACTGCCTTGGTCTCCCAGGGTTCCATCAGTTCTTTGGCAGATACTGTTAAATCGGACTGTCGGCTTCCTGATTTGGGTGAGCAGCGGATGATGCGGAGGGCGCCGGCCTTCGAATACACGAGCACCCATACCCCATGCGTGTCACTGTGCATCGACAAGGGCTCGAAATCATAAGACATTGGAAAAATGTCAATGGCCGTACAATTTGCGAAGGTCCACTTGGGAAGAGCACGGCGTTCAGTCGGGCTGTTCCTCAGTTTAGTGGGGCCGTGGCCTCCTGCCTCGCTAACACTGCTGCACCCTGCTCTCGGCTTGAGAACACATATGCGCGACTGCTGCCTTTCTGTGTCATTGTTATCGTCTTCTTCAAGCTTCTGTTTTGTAGCTCCGCAGGTTGGCTTCTCCTGAATAG